TGACTCAAAACACGAGACTACATGTGATCAGCATCATGTTGACATAACGCGGGAAAATGAATTACAGTCACATTTAGAATGACATTGCTATCTGTAATAATCCTATATTTTACTGGGACTAGCTTTCCTTTTGTGGACTCTGTGTTGTAGTGGTTGCTGGACGTTTGTTGACATTAGCTAACCCTATTTCTAAGCTAATGTTAGCTGCTGTTGCACTCTAGGAGAGCTGAAGAGAAGCAAAGGACTCTGGAGCGCACATAACGTCACATCCTTTGGATTTTCCGGTAAAAATTTGTCCCAGAGCCTTGAAATAGAATACCATAGGCTGTTGAAGACAACTGAGAGAGTCAGGGAAGATCTCAGTTTTTAAGTTCTGTTACAATCTATTCACCATTGGCAATAAAAAGCAATAAATATATGTTAAAACTTAAAAACAGTACCTTCAATTAACTAAAATGCATAAAGATTGCATAAGCTATAGACAGTAATTCCTCAAAGACCCCTGTATTGTTGCCATGCTCTCTTGTCATTCATTTATCCATCTCCGTCAGTTAGAGACCAAAGAGAAAACTTGATTGTTAGAGCGAGGTGAAAACAGAAAGGCAGGAAATGTTATTCAGCTGAAATCATGGCTGGGATCTTGTTATATTTGTACCATAATAGATGGGGCACACCAGATAATGAGGGTTGTTATTTAACCAGAGAGGAACAGTAAGTGGGATGTGAAAAGCATTGCACAGTGATAGGTAGGAACAGCAGCGAACAAGATGGTTGAGTTTGATTTTGTTCCTCCACATTCTGGGACCATCAAAGAGTGTTTTTTCCTGGAGCTGAATAACATTTGACACTTGATTATCCCCGGAATTACCCACAGAGTGTTTGGCCTCATAACGTTATATATTCACGTAGTGTTTTAAAGTGATAGTCAACCAAAAATCTCTCCTTGGAATATCAAACAATGACCCCCTGTAGGCTTGAAAGGTAGCTGTAAACAGCTTGTAGCTTGCTTCTTCGCAAACGACAGCTCTGGTCAGCTTGAATTCATGTCACCTACAAAAAGGGGTTCCTGTGGTGACATGTTTTCACAGCAGGGAAAAAGTACCAACCCATACAAAAAAAGTCTCCTCCTGCAGTACAGTGTGCCTGGGTCATTTTCTAACCATACTTGTTTGAAAAGGAAGCAGAACAACAGATGATACACTCACAACACAAACCAAACACACAACAAGATGAAAACATTTTTGAAAAATCAGACAAGTACTCAACTCAAAAATGACAAATTTATCAAAGAAAACAGCTGCTCAATTAGTAACCTGCTCAACATGTTCCCTAACTGCTATCCTGACCACTATAATCATTAATTGTTTGCCTGTATCTACTTTATATGCAATATACAAATGTTTCTCTCTGTTTCATATATTTTTTATATATACATTTATTCATTTAAAGGAATAGCTTGACAGTTTGAGTAATATACTTTCAGTTTTACTTGCTTGCAGTTAGATGAGAAGACTGGTGTAACTTAAACATAAAGCTGGAACCAGCAGCTGCTTAGCTTAGCTTAGCATAAAGACTGGAAGCAAAAGAAGACAGTTGGTCTGGTTCTACGAAGGCTATGTAAGGGACGTGAGTTTGCATCTCCTAGGATAGCGAAGACATGACCCACCCTACTCTCCTTCTAATCGGCCATTACTCATTGCCTTGGTTAGTTGGGTTTGTTAGGTTTAGGAAAGGGTAGTCTCGCTCACCAGGAGGCAGAGTAGGGTGGGTCATGCCTTTGCTATAGTTGGAAATGCAAATTCACATAAGGGACTGGTTCTTGGCTGGTGGCAGTAACTTCCCAAAATCTCATCATCACTTTGAAGTTGCCAGCATAGACTGTATAAAATGACAGATACAGCCATGATGACAAACACCCATTGGTTTCTGAACTCCCATTTAGAACCCTCAAGTTAGCATTTTGGCGGTCGCCATTTTGTTTTTTGGTTTTTTTTGTTGTTTTTTGGAGCCAAAACCCAACCATATTTGGACGAATGAGCTGTGGAGGAGCAAAGCGTGGATCTGACTCATAGACTGTGCTGACGCCTAACAGACAGCCTGTCACTCAAAGTGGGCATACCTTTAATTATGCTTAACTTTTAGCATTAATAAAATGCAAACAGGTGAGTTATATAAAAAAATCACTCCCCTTACAGTTGCCATAAACAGTGAAATTAGCTATAAAGACCAAAATCATTTTTTGCACCAGCCTGTAAACATGTTTTTTTTCTGCTGTATTGTTGAGCATTTTAACATGGGTGTCTCTGCATAATGACTCGCTTCTGGAGCCAGCCTCAAGTGGCCACTCGAGAAACTGCAGGTTTTGCCACTTCCTCGTTGGCTTCATTTTTCAGCCTTGGAGGTCTCTTAGTTGCCAGGCAGTCAGCCGAGACTCAAATGTATTGTACATGAAAGTGGTTTACTCACCTCATCTAACTCCCAAAAAGTTATTTTACTTAAAAAAGCAGCTCCAGCCAGTAGGGACTTCCAGGAGTCCACTAACTAATGAGTTGGTCCACTTATCGCGGGTAATCTAAGCCCTACAGTTGCAAAGCATCATAGAAGAGCCCAGTAGACAAAGGCTTTTAGCCCACGGCGGCAGTAGAGACTCACATTAAACTACTTTAAAGCACAAGAGCTTTGGTAGCAGAAGAGCCTTTATGCCGTGAGCTAAAAACCACTTATGCAGATTTTAGAGCGTGTGTCAGAAGAGCTTGATACAGGCAGGTGTTTTTTGTTTTTAACATTGAGCAGTGGGAACAGTGGCTCAGACTTTTGATGGTGAATGTTTATTTTGCGTGAGGCCTGATCGGCTCTTCTTTTCGCTTTTATTATCTGGGAGGCTGGCATGCAGGCACACACAATTTTGCAGAAAGACAACCACTGATACACATTGTAGACACAGAGGAAAGGTACCCAGATATACAAAATATATTCCTGCAATGCGTGGTAAGAGAGAAGATAGATGCTTGCACGGATATCATTCTTTCATAAGAAGACTATTTAAGTGAAGCCTTTTCAATGGCTTCCTCTCCATGTCTTCCTCCTCCAGCTCCATGCACATTAGCTTCAGCTCTGCACGGTTCCCAGGCGGTTCCCTCTTGTTTCATCTGGTAATAATTCTTGGAGGCTTGGAGTGAGCCATAGAGTATGTTAGTCATTAATATGGCTGTCAGCAGGAGGAGACATGCTAGTGCTTCCCCATCTCGCCAGTATTCTTTGTAAGGTAACTGCAATGAGCCCCAGGACCATCTCTGGTCATTAAAAGTGTTCATACGTAGGTTAGAAATGGTAAGTAACAGTGCAAACATGATTAGCGAATGTGAATGGACCCTTTTTACTGAGTCACAGTGAGTGCTTTCTTGTATCTGACACCAGGAGGGTCGATGTTGCCAAATGGTCACAGGTGCAGGATGTGAGGCAGCAGCAGTGTTGTTGGCTCATCTCAAAGACGGCTTTGATTTCACTTCCTGAGGCAGGTGCTGGGAGGTTTCCTGTTTCTCTTGGCCAATGAAGGATGTTTCTTGTCTTCATTCGCCGGCTAGTTTGGCTTGAATGCTGCTTTTGCTCGGGAATTCCACCTCCTGAAGAACGGGTGAAAGAGAGAGAGAGATATGAAAGGGTGACAGGAGAAAAATGAAGGAGAGGGTGAATCTGTCCTTTTAAAACTGCACTTCCATTCCACTTGCCTGAGCGTGCTCCCCAGACAACAACTTGTGAATGTCATGCAATTAGCCAGGCTGTGATATAAGTTAATTAATGACACACAGCTGGCTCGGAGGGAGAAAAAAAAGGGGGGGAAGGCAAAGAAAGGTGAATACATGATAACAAGCATCAAGAGGGAAATAGAGAAGCGTGTGATGTTATGAAACAGCCAGCAGTCAGACCTGCTGTGCTGTAAGGAAATAGATGTCAAAGTGAAGAAGACAAAGGTGGACAGACACAGCCAGAATACATAAAATGTATATAAAGTATATATTGTCAGATTTGGAAGCTGGCTGGAGGTGGAACTCGGCTTTAAGCAGATGTCTGAAAAACAGCCTTGCGCGAAAAGGGAGAGGAGATCAAGAGAACGCAGGAGATGCAGAGGAGAGGAAAAGGATATGTTGTCTTTGAGGAAATTAGAGCTTCTGTGAATAACTACGCTGAACCAAATTCTTTATCATGATGCGTGGGTGAGGTGCCAGAGGATTAGAGAGAGTGTGTGGCAGAGAGATAGATGAAAAGAGGGACCCAGCCTCCAAAGAATCCAGCAGCAGAGACGAGATTGACAGGAGGGTTCATGTGTGATTCACTCCCTTATCAACACGCAGCTACACCACGTTAGACCGGCAGGTGTTTTTAATGTTACTTAAAACGCTTCATATCTGAAAGTGTCTAACAAGTTAATTTATCTTCATGAAGAAGCTGCTTCAAACTGGACTTGTGGAAAGCACATTTTGATACCACAGAATAAGAAATGCTGAACATGAATCACCTTCAAGTATGTGAGCAGACCAGTACACCAGTACAGTATGTGAGCAGACCAGGTCTTTAATACGTGACCATTTTAAGGGGATTTCACTTTTTTATTTATATATTTTTCCAATATTTCTGCAGTTTTACATCTGTATGCGCGGCTCATGTGCTGTCATTGTGTCATAAAGCATGTGCTAATTAACTCCTCAGTAACCTGGGAAGCATTTATTATTTATTGTTTATGTGCTCTGTGGGAATAGACGTACATAACATGTTTTCTTCCTCTGTAGTGTAAACAGCTCAATTCAAAACACAAGGCTGCTATTTTTTTCTGACAGTTTATATGATTTAACTCACCACCACCATTAAGTTATGTAATCCATTGTTATTTCCTCCTTAAAATGTAAATGTATGCTTTTTCACACACACCAACACACAGACACTCGGTCTACGATAGCTAACAGTCCCCCTTCTCTTTCTCTTTCTCTCATCCGTCCTTGCAGCCATGAAGTCGGACCGTAAGCGTCTGAAGGCGGAGAAAGCAGACCTGGTGAACCAGATGCAGCAGCTTTATGCCACACTGGAGAGCCGGGAGGAGCAGCTCCGTGACTTCATACGCAACTATGAGCAGCACAGAAAAGTATGGCTCCCATTTTCTGAACCATGAACTGCACACACAAGTGCATGCACAGAAAGATCCATTTGAAGAGTCTGTTTCTGTGCAGCTGTGTTGGTTGTATGCACGTTAGCATAAAAGGGCCCGTCTAAGCAACAACAGAATGAGTTATTAATAGTTCAGCCCAAAACCAAAAAAATCATATTTTTCCTTTTACCTGTAGTGATATTTATCAGTCTAGATTGTTTTGGTGTGAGTGTTGGAGATATCGGCAGTAGAGATGTCTGCCTTAGATCATGATTTCTGGAAAGAGACATTGCTGCTGAGTTTTAAAATATATTTTTGGGACTTTGAGAGCCACAAGCTGAGTGCCATCTAGTTCTGTTATATTGCAGAGAAGGCAGACATTTCTACGGCTGATATCTCCAGCACTCAGCAACTCACACCAAAACAATCTAGATTGATCAGAAGCACTACAGGTAAGAGGAAAAATATGTATTTTTGATTCTGAGGTGAACTGTCCCTTTAATGTCATCTCAAGCAAAACAATATTTCCAAAATCAGTGACAAGACATAACAGGAAGTAGTGAAATTATCATGGTTCGGTACGATTACTTAGCAGGTTTGACCCATTCAGTTTATTTTCAAAGGTATGCTTGATGTGTGAACCAATCCATCAGGATCTTTATGTCCACTAGGAGAGCGAGGATGCGGTGAAGGCACTGGCTAAAGAGAAGGACCTGCTGGAGAGAGAAAAGTGGGACCTGCGGCGGCAGACCAAGGAGGCCACGGAGCACACGGGGATGCTGCGCTCCCAGCTCGACCTCAAGGAGAACCGCATTAAGGAACTGGAGGCTGAATTGGCCATGGTGAGACGGAAGGACAGACGGGGGATGTGGGTGACTAGACTGACAGACAGACAGGTGGAGAGACAGACTATGCTATCTCTTGCTTTGTCATTGTAAACTTTGATGTTCTCCATGTTTAGTATGTAAAGTACAGTCACAAAAAAGAGCCAGAATAAGACAAAGACAGAAGGACAGTAAATATATTCTGAGCAGTTGCCAAGGCTCAGACACAGATACATCACGTGTGTTGCAACCACTTACAAGAACAGTGAACAGAAGGTAATCACAGTGCAGTCAAATACAAATATTAAAGCACAAGTTTCATGACTGTTTCATGGGTATACAGTGCGTCTGTCTGTCACTATTTTTGGTGAACTGCATATGATCAAACACAGAAAGCCTTTAAATGTACAGTACAGCCATCCATCATGTCTCCAACCCCCCAGATGAGTAACTGTGTCAATCAGAGAATGGAGTTCCGGGTGTTTGAGCGGGTTGCGGACAGGGACTTCTCTCCTAGGGTCATGGCGGTAAGATGGGCCCCCAGCTTTAAAATCTTAAAACCTTTCTTGACCCTCCCGCTCCCTGGAAATCTGTCCTACTTGTGACCTAAATGTGGTTTTGGAAAGCCCCCCTTCTCAGCTGCACGTTTTTGACTAACCCTGAGCCAACCCCGATTGATCCCAGTGATCCTAACACCAGTGATCCCATGGATTCCCGCTGTGATTGATCTGAATGTTTTTAAATTGAGTAAAAAAAAAAATGCCTGAGAGGAAAAATATATATACAGTACAGGCCAAAAGTTTGGACACACCTTCTCATTCAATGCATTTTCTTTATTTTCATGACTATTTACATTGTAGATTCTCACTGAAGGCATCAAAACTATGAATGAACACATGTGGAGTTATGTACTTATCAAAAAAAGGTGAAATAACTGAAAACATGTTTTATATTCTAGTTTCTTCAAAATAGCCACCCTTTGCTCTGATTACTGCTTTGCACACTCTTGGCATTCTCTCCATGAGCTTCAAGAGGTAGTCACCTGAAATGGTTTCCACTTCACAGGTGTGCCTTATCAGGGTTAATTAGTGGAATTTCTTGCTTTATCAATGGGGTTGGGACCATCAGTTGTGTTGTGCAGAAGTCAGGTTAATACACAGCCGACAGCCCTATTGGACAACTGTTAAAATTCATATTATGGCAAGAACCAATCAGCTAACTAAAGAAAAACGAGTGGCCATCATTACTTTAAGAAATGAAGGTCAGTCAGTCCGGAAAATTGCAAAAACTTTAAATGTGTCCCCAAGTGGAGTCGCAAAAACCATCAAGCGCTACAACGAAACTGGCACACATGAGGACCGACCCAGGAAAGGAAGACCAAGAGTCACCTCTGCTTCTGAGGATAAGTTCATCTGAGTCACCAGCCTCAGAAATCGCAAGTTAACAGCAGCTCAGATCAGAGACCAGATGAATGCCACACAGAGTTCTAGCAGCAGACCCATCTCTAGAACAACTGTTAAGAGGAGACTGCGCCAATCAGGCCTTCATGGTCAAATAGCTGCTAGGAAACCACTGCTAAGGAGAGGCAACAAGCAGAAGAGATTTGTTTGGGCCAAGAAACACAAGGAATGGACATTAGACCAGTGGAAATCTGTGCTTTGGTCTGATGAGTCCAAATTTGAGATCTTTGGTTCCAACCGCCGTGTCTTTGTGAGACGCAGAAAAGGTGAACGGATGGATTCCACATGCCTGGTTCCCACTGTGAAGCATGGAGGAGGAGGTGTGATGGTGTGGGGGTGTTTTGCTGGTGACACTGTTGGGGATTTATTCAAAATTGAAGGCACACTGAACCAGCATGGCTACCACAGCATCCTGCAGCGACATGCCATCCCATCCGGTTTGCGTTTAGTTGGACGATCATTTATTTTTCAACAGGACAATGACCCCAAACACACCTCCAGGCTGTGTAAGGGCTATTTGACCAAGAAGGAGAGTGATGGAGTGCTGCGGCAGATGACCTGGCCTCCACAGTCACCGGACCTGAACCCAATCAAGATGGTTTGGGGTGAGCTGGACCGCAGAGTGAAGGCAAAGGGGCCAACAAGTGCTAAACACCTCTGGGAACTCCTTCAAGACTGTTGGAAAACCATTTCAGGTGACTACCTCTTGAAGCTCATGGAGAGAATGCCAAGAGTGTGCAAAGCAGTAATCAGAGCAAAGGGTGGCTATTTTGAAGAAACTAGAATATAAAACATGTGTTCAGTTATTTCACCTTTTTTTGTTAAGTACATAACTCCACATGTGTTCATTCATAGTTTTGATGCCTTCAGTGAGAATCTACAATGTAAATAGTCATGAAAATAAAGAAAACGCATTGAATGAGAAGGTGTGTCCAAACTTTTGGCCTGTACTGTATATTCAGGCAACTAATGATTACTGCAAAGGTTTGTGATTGTATTCTGTTTTGCATGTCAGAGTGTGATTGATAATCGTTTGACCGCTGGTAGGTAGAGATGATTGCGGAGCTGATTGTGATTTGATTTGCAGCCTGCCGTCGCTTGGCATGATGATAAGATTCGCACAATAACAAGATTGCAAGCATTTGTAAAACACTGACATGTCAAGGCTAATCAGAAAACATACACACAAAGAAACAAAACTTTTGGCAGACACAAAATACACTTCCACAAACACATCTCCCAAGGCTCCAGCAGCTCATTGTGGTTCCCGCTAAAAGATGGTGAATTGTGCTTTGTGACGAGGCCCTACAGAGCAAATGTATTCATTAGACTTCTAGAAAAGCTTCATTATTTCCATTTTCTCCATTTTACACCCCGCCAACCTCTAACTTCCTCCCCCGAAAGGGAAGCAAACACCTCCTCCAGATATTCTGTTGTGTTTTTTCTTCTCCGTGCTCTCTGGAGCTGTAACGAGAGATTTCACACAACAAAAGACCAACATGAATACAGCTGCATTTTTCATGAGACAACAACCACGCGAGGAGCCCAGGGGAGAACACACTTGTCCGCATGCACTCAGAGGAGTAGGATTTTGGATGCAAAAATCAACATGTACACGTGGACACACACGACACATAACACACAGTAACAGTAAAACACCACCTCACTTGAAAAAAATTATCTCCAGGTTTGTTGCTTAATGCGATTTTGCTTTCTAACTAATTGCATCCGTCTTTTTACCCTCTTAAGGCCAAACAGTCTTTAGCCACCCTAACCAAGGACGTGCCAAAGCGTCACTCTCTGGCCATGCCCACGGAGACAGTTGTCAATGGCAACAACCAGGAGTGGGTGATGCAGGCCGACCTCCCGCTGACAGCAGCCATCAGACAGAGTCAGCAGACCCTCTATGTCCACACGGGGCATCCCACTGACAGACAAGGTAGGCTGACATGCACACGTACCGTACCTGCATGCTCATGTGAACCTGCTTCACACACATTCACTCCTGTCATCTGCTCAGTATGACTACATTGTTGGCCACTGATGATGCTCCAGTCGTTACATTTCATGCGCTTTATGTAGCAGTTACAGTGAACATACTTTTGGCTTTACAGCTTCCATCCGTCTTTGCCGCACACAGATATTTCCTCTGTATTTTAAAAAGGTGGCAGCTGGGGATCAGTTGGGTGTTAAGTGCCGTTTCTGTCTGGTTAAGTGTAATTTCACACTCAGGTTCTGAGGGAAACTATTTTTTTTATTTAATGTGTTGTTTATATTTTGCAGCTTTTTTCACCTGACTTTTTTGGCCCCTATTTCTAATTTTCAGGCTCCTCACAACATTTGTAGGTTCACCATATACCTGACTTGTGCAGACGTGCAGATGAAAAAGGAGGAAAAAGCTTTCTCTGTCACTACCTAAAGCTGAAGTGTATTGCAAACTGAACGCACAGCTTTTGCTTGCAAAGCTCATTCACTTTGACTTTTGTGAATTCTTGTGGCCGGAAAATAGAAATGTGTCTTTTCTTTTCTAGTGTTGCATTGCAGCAGTGCACCTAGTCAATCATGGCCCGTCCTAATATATGGGGGCCCTTTTTCATATTCAAGTAAATATTAAAAACAGTTTGCGTGTATGTGGTAAGTTAAGTCTGCAACACACAAAAGATTTTAAGAAGTGGTTATTATGAAAAGCTGATGTCGGGAGTTGACATCATAGTTAAAAGGACAGTTCAGATCTTTTGAAGTTTTGTTGTATGAGGTGCTTATCTATTGTCAGTGTATTACCTTCAGTAGATGGCGGTGGGCACGCATCCAGTTTGGAGAAGCAGGCAGGAGTACTGACACGGAAGCTAAGCAATGCACTGCTGTGGTCAGGGGACAGCAGCAAAACTGATAACCGACTATATGATATATTATTATATTATTCTATATTTAGAATATTTTCACTTCTTTACCTTGCCACAGACACCCTGTCCTGATTGGGAAGCCGTTCACTGCTTCAGTTCCCCATCTATTCTCTTAACAAGCCCCCAAACTCATTCACAAAAATCACTTTACCTTGCAGAACACAGGACCTGCTGGTTTACTGCAGTCTTGATCAGTTATTTTGTTTATGTTATTGTGTGACTCTGCCATTTAAGGGGCCGTACACATCTTTAACCGCCTGGAAAACACAAGGTCAGGCACTGGGCGCTACTCTTGTGCCTACTCTGTAGGCTCTGTTTTCAAGGGCATAGAGGCAGGTTGCATAACCAGCACCGTATCATAGCCTAATTACCAAAAACCCTGAGTACAGTGCTGATCTTCTTCCAAGCGTTGTTTTGTAAGTGTGCATTAGGCCAAAAATATTGTCCATGGGATGGATGTAAAGCTCTGGGTAGCCCTGCACTAAAATGATCAACTTCTTCTTCATGTTTACCACAGACAGGTATTTACAGAAAAAGAGGAAGATATCTGCCAGCTGTTATTGGTTGTTTCTTGTTACATGACTTGGGGTGCTGCATTCTAAAAGTTTAACTTTGTTGGTCTCAGGGCACAGCCATCGCGCCCTGAAAAAATGGGTGGCTGGGAACACGTGCCTGCTGTAATGGCATCGCTCTGGTGTTTGAGTGCGCCTGCAGCAGGTCTATATTGAAAGCAATGAATTTGAGGGCACAAAATCATGGAATGTGTACGGCCCTTAAAAGGGTTAGTTCGGATTCACCAAAGTCAAATGCTAACACAAACTGACTGATCGAGGCAGTGATAGACCAGCAGCTCTCGTGTTCAGCAAGCTAAAATTATAGGTGGTGAACTAAAGCCATTAAAGGCATCAGAGAGGGTTGTATACTGAGAGGTAAAGCAGTGAAAATACTTTGAATATAGCGTACACTTAAACTGTTACAGATTTTTTTTAGGTGGCTAAAATACGTTTTGCTGCTGCCCCAACCACAGCAGTGCATTACTTAGCGTCTGTGGCAGTGCACCTGCCTGCTAAACTGGGACATACCGACTGCCATCTACTGTAGGTGATACACTGACTATGGAAAAGTACCTCATACACCCCACTTCAAAAGATCTGAACTATCCTTTTAAATAATCTTCCCTCTCAGAATCCGTGCTTGAATAATCAAGTGTCATCGAGGCTGTCAGCCTGAGAGGTGCTACTGGCACCTCCCAGCCTAAAAAGAAAGTTTCATACAAATTAACCTTGTTTCCACCAGAGATGGGAGTCCATCTCAGTCCACCTCGAGCTGTTCAAAGGGGCAGCCACGGGTTCAAACGGGTTACTGACTAATTGTGGACATCTGGAGGGAGAAGACAAAGTGTGACAACGTGTGAACAGTCACGAACCCCCAAATTGCTATGCAATTGGTTGAACTGTATGTATCAGTCTCACTGGTACACACACTCGCTCACACTCTGTGAAGCTGTTTTCACTGTTGCTTAGCAACTGCAGATGATTGCAAATAATTTCAGGCTTTTAGTCAGGGGCTTTTTAACTATATTTCCTTGTAAGGATGTTGTGGCGTTGTTGAGAAGAATCAGATTTTCCCTGTTCACGAGTTTTTGGTGCCCAAACACACCCCAAAAAGAAAACAAGTCTTCTCTGTTTTCCCTCTCGTCCCGTTTAGTGGCTGCCGTGCGGGTGAGCCCATGCCACTCGCGTCAGCCCTCCATCATCTCCGACGCCTCGGCGGTGGAGGGAGACCGGTCATCCACACCCAGCGACATCAACTCACCACGCCATCGGACTCACTCCCTCTGCAATGTAAGAGCTGCCCACCACCGCACCCTCCTAAGTAATCAGCCCCTCTAGTCACTGCCAACTGTCCTGCTCCCTGGCCGCTGTCGTTTCCTCCCACCATCGTTCTGGCTGAAACCATGTTTGCCCCGCGCAGCCTGTCGTGTACTCACTCTGCAGCTGTGACTTGAATTTATGTGAAAACCAGTTGTGGTTGTTGAATACGTGCATGCCTGGCAGCATGTCAAGTGACACTTCCCCTTTGTGTTGTGATCTTTATCTTTCCTGGTCTTTATCGCTCACTCTGCACCACTTCACTGACTTCTCTGCTCTTGTATCTCTCTGTCCCTTCTGCCATCTCTTCATCTCCTCCTTCCCTTTGCTCCCCCGTTCTCTCTCTTCTTTCAGTCCCTAGAAGATCTGGAGGAGGCGAAGCGTAAGAAGAAGAAAGAGAAGATGGGGCTTGGCTCTCTGTCGCGTGTCTTTGCCCGGGGAAAGCAGCGCAAGTCCCTCGACCCTGGTTTGTTTGATGGTACTTCAACGCCTGATTATTATATAGAGGAAGATGCAGACTGGTAAAGCACACATGTCCGAGCGAACCACCTGGAGAGCCTTTGTGGCAATTATCAGAAGACAGCTTTGTGTTGTGTGTGTGTGCAAGAGAATGGGTGTGTGTTTGATGTCAGTGTGTACAGATACAGCAGTGTGTGTGCCTGCGCAGTCTCACACGCATGCATACTCGTGTGTGTGAAAGTGTGTGCATGTGTGTGTCATCCATGGTCAGAGGCCATGTCAGGAGCTGGAGGCGCGTCTTGCTTCGCTGAAGTGTAAACCTTAACGAGCAAATTGCACCTGTATGTATGTACAGTCCTGTAAATAGAGTGGACAGTGTGACACAGCGACCATGTGGATATGTTCTGTTGTATCTGCCCTCCAAAAAACGGCTGTGTTATTGGATCTTTTAATTGTTCTTTACATTTTGACTTTTTGTTTTCACTCAACTGGAAACTTGAAGGACTGCTGTACTTGTAAATAACAACAGTTGATGTGCACTTTGTGCGTGTAAATGTCTCCTTGTCCTGAATGCCTTTTGTTATGTTCTGACATGTACTCCCCTCCTCTCACTACCTTTTAACTTGAACTCCTCCCTGTTTATTGTCCTGCCTGGTCCATCCCCCCCCCCCCCCTCCTTCCACACTGCCATGACGAGAACAGTTTCCTGTCGGCAACATGCAGACTCCTCAAATCCACCTCTAATTCGGTTGTACAACACATCCCTCTACCGCCAAGAAAACTGTGCACTCCTTGATGTTCGCTCAAATGAGACTTCAAAGACGCTGCTAAGCGAGGAATAAACTTTCTATGCAGAACAGTTTGTTCCACGGCAACATGAAGCCAAACAGGAAATGTAAGAAATGTGTTTTCTATCTGCTCAGATAGAAGGTACATGCCGAAGGTACATGTGTGACATGCATGCACATAGTCCCAGTCCCTGAATGCATGTTGAACAAAACCCTACTAAACAGAAATGTCTTTCTCTGGGTATGTTGTCGAGGAGATGTTTTTTTAAAAAAAAGAGAGGTCAGTTGCTGATTTCATGATGTTTATTCATGATTTCCTCCATTTTTAAATGAAGTTATTAGATTTATCATTCAGAAAAAAAAGTTTAACATCCCAAACTAAACATAGAACGCTTTAATCTGCACCTACAAGGCTCTTTATGCAAAATTACATTTGAAGTATTAAAGGTCAGCAAAGTCAACAGCCACAAAGAAAACCCAGCGCTACACTTTCAATGATTAAATCATCACTTCACATATTCATGAGTCTTTGTGCCATTTTCTCTCTGTAGGATCTTACAGTAGCTTGTAGCTATCGTTTTATTAATGCTTAAAAAAGCTGCTGGGAGTAGAATCACTCTGGGAAAAGGAATAGAAATCTGTCATCATAGCGTAAGTGAGAGCATAAACATCAATTATACTATCACTGTAGATATTAGCCTGATGGTCAAGGCTTTTCTGAACCTCAGGAAGTAGGTCATTTTACCAGAAAATCCGGACTTCAGTTTAGAGGCCTGAGCGCAGAGCTGACACTAATTGAACTGTTATAACAATAACGAGTGCCAACCCAGGAGGTTAAAAATCAGGCTAAACAAACCGAAGCAAATGCATACCTTCTCCCTCGACCCCCAAATTCAGATGCAGAGTTCAGGCCATTGCTGAAAAAAGCAATTAACTTTGTGCCAAAGGTTAATAGCGTTTCTTCAAGCAAAAGAATGTCCACAGACGTTGGATTATTTTCATCCTTTCATTGGATTGAGCCGGAGTCTGCACTGCCACCCCCAGGAAATCTTTTCTCTCCCTGATATTAAACTAACACTGGGTATTTGTCAGTCTCATCTGAAACACTATACAGTCACAGATTACATTGGAGCTGTATTTAACCACAGTGCTTGTCAAAAGAGCGTCCGTGTAAGCGGCGAGGGGGATTATCGGTTAACCCTCAGCTCAGCCTACATTTGGGCTCGCAGATATTGGATTTAGAGGTAAATCACTAAGCTAATTCATAGATAAGTCATCATGTATTAAAATGTATGTATAGGAACAACAGCTCAATCAGTTTATTTCATTAAGCCTTTAATGAAATGTATTAAAAAAATACTAGGCTATTTTTATTTTTTCATTTAACCAACCTCTGCTGATGGGGAAAAAAACATATCAAATGAAAAGCATTGTATGATCTTTATGTTTTGAGCCACGGTCTCTTTGGTTTTTTTTTTGTTTGTTTGTTTTGTTTTTCCACAAATATTTTACTTTTTGTAAATGAGATAACATTACAGAAATAAAATTAATATTATTATTAAAGAGTTTTTATTTAAAGTCAAAGATGTAGGCCTCAGTGGAGGACTTCCTGCTGTGAGGTCCTGAGATGTTTAGAAGTGGATAGTAGTGAACTTTTAAAGGCATGGCAACAAAAATTACGCTCAAAAGAACTAAATGAGAAAAATAAGATTATTTTAAAATAAAATAAATAACCTTGAATTTCCATGTGGCTGTCCTCTCTTTCCCTGTGTTGATGTTTGTGTGTTTACGTGTTCATTTGTCGTGGTATGGCTCTAATCCTGATTCGTCCCTTTACACTGCGGGGGCTGCCATCTTTAACATATGCGTGAGCCTCCCTCAGCCCTGCAAGTCCATCTGTGACAGGACCGCATCCCAAAAGCTTCCAAATGGCCTCCTTTCTTCTCTCTCCCAATTTTCACTCCTTATTCGTCCTGAGAATGTTTCTGTCTCTGTGATATGAAAATCAATAATCAGGAAACAGAGAGGGGAAAGGAAGCCATGTCAGACTGTCGGAACGGAGCTCATATGTGTCAGCACATGATGTCAATAATGTTCTGCTGTGATTTGACCCCTGACCTCTAACACTGACCCCCCCTCTTGCCTGCCCTCCTCCGGACTCTCAACACAGTGAAGTGACCCAAGAAGTAATCAGTCAGACTCAGTAAGACCAAGGTACACAAGTTCCGATTGCTTTAACAATGAGCTGTGCTGGGTTGCAGACTGTGTTTGCAGATGCCTTCTAACTCTCAAACAGTATCACAAACTGACCTTGGAATTTAGCACTTCTTCAAGTTCAAACTAACTCTGATGAAAATCATCCAAAAACAACAAGTGCCTCTGTATATGACATGCCTACAGGGGCGTCAGCAACTTTTTTTTTCCTGTTTACTAATATTAGACACTTTCTATGGCATACTAACATTAGTTTAATACAGACTTCAGATTTCCACTTTTACCAAATATCTCAACAACAATCCACACCCGTATTAAGCAGTCAAAGAAATGCACTTTGTCAAGAGTTGATGGTACTTTCAAGTCTGCAAGTTGAATGCCATGCTGCAGCCAGTTAGCTTAGCGTAGCATAGACTGGACACAGACAGGCTGTAGCTTCATATTTACTGTACAGACACGAGAGCTGTATCAAACTTATCGGTGAATAAGAGTATTTCTCCAAAGCTTTTCTTTCAAAGGTGCTGTATACGACATTCAGAACATTAATACAGCAGCAAACAGCTGCTTGCTTTGGAAAGATACAGTGCTGTAATGGTGTCCTGAGCAGAGAATGAAGTCACACTACCTCTGTATGTGTTGTATCTGAGCCTCTCTGTTCTTTCTGGTGGTAGATGGTCCAGCTGTGCATGCATGTCAGTGCATGAGACCCTGTGTGTATCCCACTGACTAGTAGCTAGTCACCACCGCTCTGCACTGCGTTCATACAGAGAGGAAGACCCTCCTGTTACGCTGTCTACAGTGGGACCTCATTTCAGAAAAAATATGTAGCCTTCAGTAGTCAATGGTGAGACAGATCATTTTGCAACTCAAGAAAGTGGCAGTTTTAGTTGTGTGTAAAACTGTGAACATCATCTCTCATCTCACACCATATATGACACCTACACCAGCTGGCAGTAGATATGTTCCACACACATGCAACATTATTTTGTCTGATATGTTTTACACAGCGGTTCCTGGTCTTTTTATCAGTTGAGAAGCGAAAGAACCAGTAAGACCCGCTCCTCGTGTGAGTTCATCCTGCTGGTATGAAACGCACAGGCTTTGTAGCTTCAGTAAGAGAGAAAGCTATGACATCATTTATGCAATTTGACTTCGTTCTAATCACTGTGTTATACTTTAACAGTTTTACAACAAACTGCAACTTTATTGACTTGCAAAATTAACTTTTGAACTGACAATCATCACATGTGTAATTCATGGCACAATTCAAACAGGATCAAAAAATTAACTGAGGGGTGTCGGTGGCTTAGTGCTTAGAGCAGGCGCCCCATATACAAAGGCTCAGTCCTTGCCGCAGTGGCCGTGGGTTCGCTTCCAGCCTGTAGCCCTTTGCTGCATGTCGCTCCCTCTGTCTCTCCCCCATTTCAAGCTAGTCTGTCCTATCATTAAAGGCCTGAAAAGCCCAAAAAAATAATCTTTAAAAAATAGTAACTGAAAGAAGTCCCAGGCTGGTCCACTGGAAGGGGAGTGACTTCGCCTCTCTACACAGTGGTTACAGCTGGTAACTTTGCGTACGTGTAGCAGCAGTGGAATTGCTTACCACAAAGACTTGAAACAGACTGGTCGTACCTTCATATTTATCATACAGACATGACAACAGTATTAATCTTATCTCACTGTAAGAAGGCAAATAAGTGTATTTTCCAACATATGGATCTGTTTCTTTGAGGCATTTAACTCTCAAGCCAGATAACTAATTGGTACAGTGAATGGGTGAATTAATTTATCTTACATTGTGAACTCTTATCCATCTTGAACATTGAATTATGAAACATGTTTTAATGGAAAATACCCAATATCATGTGCGTTTGGTACACAACACAACCTGCTCCTCCATTCCTCATCCTGAGTGTGACTCGTTGTATGTAGCAATGACATCCATTACACCAGCTATTGAAGGGCACGATTAAGGATTGATTGCCTAAACAAAACAGTCCCCTGTGTCTTATGTGAAGTGTACACACTGCTGTTCTCTCTTCGCTAAAGGACTAACGATCCATCACAGTGTTTACCAAACACACCTAACACTCGTGGCCTCAGATAAAGGTTCACAACTCTTCACAGTAGCAGCTACGACCACATCGCTGTAGGATGTTCTGCTGACCGCTACACTTTCAGTGAGGTTTTTAAAAAGGCATGAGAGGGTCGGCCCCACAGGAGGACCCAACTCTCAGGTCACAGAGAGTCTAATCTCCAACAGTTTGGTCTTCAACTGGATGTCAAGCAGTAAATTCTGCACTTCGTAATGTGACATGTTTTTGTAAGGACTTTTTCCGGAGTGAAAAACAGACCTTGTATCTGGACAAGAGTACATTTCTGTCCAAGGAGCAGATTTATTCCGCTTAAAATGAATTGCTCTCTGAGGGGCACTTAGAAGTCCACCTTCACTTTATGTATTGCTCTCAGGAGAGCACATAAAAGCATCCGGCTTAAGATGAATTACTGAAGTCGACTTTAATAAAAATCTGTTTATTTGCACCCTGCAATCATTCAGTGGTGAATCTCTTCTTAAATAAACACACAGTGGTGCAGTAAAGCCTGCCATAAAGTAATGTAGGTGTCTGTTTGCTGGAAACAAGGAGACACAAAGAGGCAGATCCACAGAGGGAACAAAAAACCTGCTGAGTTATTTTTTGGTCTGTTTTAAGGTTGAGAGCCCCGGGCATTGTTTCAAACTGAATGATTCACACAGAGAGCATCACTCAGTCTTATATTTGTTTTTTTCTACTAAATATAACAGCTTTGTGGATGTTTTGGCGGGTTAAGATTCTTTACAACTGAACTCTCAAATGGATGCTTCTGTTAAAGGTTCATTAGCTTCCCAGGAGGCCTTACAGTTTTAGCCCTGGTGGCTACAGCCCACGTACAGTCATAGAGTACAGCTTTATTCTGAGGACTGCAGCCCAGCATTTGTGCTGATGTCGAGGTTTTCAGAAAGTATCAGACGAGACAGGTGACTTTGAGGTGTGTCACTGGAGTTACCAAAGAGAAAAGATGAAGTGTTGCTGCACAGGAAGGACTATTTGTTCTTTAAACAACACCTCACACCTTAACGAAATACTTCACCCATAAAATAACCATTTGTACATCAGTAAGTCATGTTGCACTGCCTTGAATATGTAAAGAACTTTTTTTCACACACCTCCATGGAAAAAAGTAGAAATATAGATTTATTGTCTGATTGGGGGCCACATTTAACAACAACGATAATATTGTGCATAGCGTGAGTTCAGGCAGGACACGATCTCAAGCTCAGCTCACATCCCAGCTACATCAGCTGGTCTCAAACAGCCCAATCAACTGATGGAGCAGCTGATTGATCACATGATTCCTCTCTATGCAACCAATTGGTGAATCTCATTCAGGTCGCCCTATTTAAACTGCTCTGGCCTGTCTACTGTTGCTGCTTTCTCTGCAAGCCGCTTTGCAACCTGCCTCCACCCCAGCTCCCCCTTTTCATGCTGTGTCTGACTTATTAATGTAATTTCTGTTTGTCATTGATGCTGCTCTGTTCTGTTCCCGGGGGGTCTTTGCTCCTGCTCTCCCTGCCTTAGGCTTTCCATGTAGGTGCATGGAAGGGCAGGAAGGTTTGCCTCTCTGCCTCAGGCTTTCCATGTAGGCACATGGAAGGGCAGGGAGGTTTGCCTCTCTGCCTTAGGCTTTCCATGTAGGTGCATAGAAGGGCAGGAAGGTTTGCCTCTCTGCCTTAGGCTTTCCATGTAGGCACATGGAAGGGCAGGGAGGTTTGCTTCCTCTGCCTCAGGCTTTCCTCATTTGCATGTGGAATGGCAGACAGGTGTGCTCTCTCTGCCTTATGGCTTTCCACGCAGGCGCGTCGAAGGGCAGAGAAGTGTGCTCTTTCCACGTAGGGGCATGGAAGAGGCTTTCTGCGTAGGCCTGAGGAAAGGCAGAGAGGCCCCAGAACAGAGCCATACCGTCAAATATAGTACTGCAAATGGAAATAAAGTTTCCTTTGACTAAAGTGTTCCTGACTGAACTATATCAAAACATCTGTTAACAAACTCTGTACTTCCCAAACACATGAATTTTCACTAACAGACCTTATTGGCGTCTGGCTTGAGTTATGTGCGAGTTTGTTAACAGATATTTTGATGTAGTTCTGCTGTTGTTAAATGTGGCTCCCAATCAGTCAATAAACCAATACATTTTCCATCAAAGTGCTTTTCAGGAATTCAGTGTAACATGCCATGACTAATGATACACAAGTGGTCATTTTTTTGGTTGAAATATTCCTTTAGGTGGATGAGCGTACTCATCGTGCACATTTGTCATGAGTGACAGGAACAATGATAATGTGTCCAATATTAACAGCAAGACATGATGCCATACCAACTGCTGAGCTCAAAACTGGTACTAGGTTGCCACCTGCTGGTAAAGACAGAGAAATATCTGTCAGTGAAACATACTGTGTTATTGGCCAATATATTTAAATCATGAGAAGAATGTAAA